CAGAGGACTAGCTAGAGCCTTCACAACCACGAGGAGGAGGAGGCGCAGAGAGTCTCCGCCAACAATAGGAGGAATGACAGCTAGCTTCTGATGCCCACTTCGACTAGTTGAGCCAAAGCATCGATTGTCGATTCGCAAGCATGGAGGTAGAGATGCATCAGCACTTTAGTGGCATGAGCAACAGTGGGGCTACCACGAGCAGACGATGGGCTAGCTGGAACGTCACTTCCTTTATTGCTTTATTTGTATTTTTCTCATTATTGTAGTCTAAAAAAATACATTTGAGTAATGAGATTGTGTTTTTCTTCACATCATTGTCTCTATTTTACATTACATTTAAAAAAATAATTAATAATATAGAATAAAAAAGGGGAAGAAAAAAAAAGTAAAAACATAGAAAAAGGCCAAGCTTCCATACTAGAAAAGTCAAAGCTAAAAGCAATAATAAAATCAACCCTTAGAAAATCCTTAGCATGGGGAACCCCACTGCAAGCAAGGGGCAAGAACTTCCCACAACGGCAATTTCATCAAACGACCAAGTTAACAACTCAAGGATCAACCACCATTCCCTACTAACAAGCCAAGGGAACCAGAAAGACCATTTGCAAAACTCTCACACTGTTGTCAAAACACATGGAGAACACAGTGCCCATTATAGCAATAGATTGCAAAGGAACACTTATGCTTATGTTTGGATTTGAATGTTTGATCTTCCACGAGAATTTTGGATGCCCAAAATTTTATAATCAATAGCCTCAAGTGTTGGTGCTCCTATCTCCATTGATTAAGCTAGAATGAAACAAATATATGGACAGTTTGTTTGGGTTCTTGTGGAGATCAACCCGGCAAAGGAGATCACTGATCAGATTCTTGTTGAAAGGGAGGATATGCATTTTTTGTATCTTTAGTATATGGGAAACTCCTTAAGTTTTGTTTCTTTTTTGAAAAATATTTTCTAAAAGGTAATTAGGGTATAAAAAAAGAAGAAAAAAAAGAGTAAGGGAGGTGTATTATTAATTATTGGAAGTGTGTTTCACAAAAACCTAATAATGTGTTTGGATGAGATATTTTAAATGAGTAATTTATGTTTTTGAAGAATTTTAAATTTGGGGTGGAATAATTTGTTTGGATGAAAAATTTATAAGGATTTTGAAATTCAAATATTTGTGAAATTCTTTAAAATTCTATAATTTCAAATTCTCCCAAAAAAGTGAGAATTTGAAATTCTTCATATTTTTTTATCTCATTTATATATCTTTTATCTCTCTATCATGGATGCTAATAGGTTAGGGCATAATCTGTTCTATAAAATTAAAGTTTGAGTCTGATGGAGGACCATCCTTGGAGACTCATGTAGGACCTATCACAAGGGCCATGGCAAGGATGATAAAGGAAGCAAGAGGAAAAGACACCACAGTTAGACCTATACTCATCTTGAGTATAGAGACATTTGACTTCCTCTAGTACTTTACTTCCCTTGGGACCTTATACTACTTTAGATTAGGATTTTTATTGCTTTTTAATTTATTTTGTATTTTTATTTTACCCTTGTATTATGAGGTGATTAAAGTAAGATTTATTTTAGGACTTATGCCTTGACTTGTGAGGTCAAAGTCCACTTTTTCCTTCATTTTAAGGTTAAGGGTATTTAGGTCTTTTGGAGGGTTGACTATGTGGCACATTCACATTCCATTTGAGTGACATTTAGAGTTCATTTAGGGTGGGAATTTTCGGCCACACCACCTAAAGAAACCCTAGATGTCACCCTCCACCCCTATATATACCCTACACCCTCCACCATGTAGCCACTTTGAATTATATGCATTTGAGTGAGCTTTTTGCCTTCAAATCTTTCCTTAGTCTCCTAGGTCTACACGACCTCACCCTAACCTCTCAACTTAGAGTAAGTTTAGGCTATTATTGAGTGGCCTCCATCAAGCCTTTATGGAGTGAGCCAACCTAGAAACAACAAAACCCCTTTCACTTTTCCTTTCTCCTATTCGCCCACCTACACCTTTCTTCACCTTCATTCGCCCTTCATCTTCATCCTTGGAGGAGATTCAATCCTTGAACAACCATAAGGTCATTGGAGAAGAGGAGACTCTCTCCTTTAGTCTCACCAACCTCACCTTGAAGAAGATGAATCGATCAGAGTCCGTCCTATTATTTATCATAGACTTTTTTTTTATAAGTCTAGCTAGATTTTTTTTTAAAACTCTAGCTCGAACTATTAACTTATTTAAAAATTCATTTTATATTAAAAACGTTAAATAGACCAATAATTTTAATTTTAAATAACTCAACAAATCTATTTTTGAAATATGCATACAAGTTTTTTTTTTAATTTGTGTGATAAAATATATACTTTACTTTATTATTATTAAAATTTAGAATTTAAAATAAAAAACTAATGGAAGAGAAAAAACTCATGTACAATTATGTATGCTCATATATACTCATGCATTGTTGTGATAAATAATGAGAACCTTATCCAAAAAAAATTTCAAAATGTTTCGTATATCCCATTTTTAATATTTTAAATAATCAATCATGTAGATGAAGAAAAAGAGCTGACAAAGATGTGACTACTAGATTTTCTATTTTTTAATGTCATATGAATAGAGAGTGTAAAATGTCTAAGTATAGTAAAAATGTCAAAAGATATTGCTATTGCGATTTTTTTTATTACAAATTTATTTATTTAATTATATTATTAATAATATAATATTTATATTATTTTTATTATATCATATAGATAAATAGACTAACATAATAGGTATATCAAACTTTTTTTTCTTTTAAGTCTATGCTCAATTTTTTTTAAATGAATAACTTTTTTTTTTAAGTTTAAACTAGACTTTTTATTCAATAGGTTAGACTAGATCATGTTTTAAACACTCCTATGTTTAGGATTTATTTAATGTTGACATAAAAATATCAATAATTTTTTTAATTGTTAAATATTCAATTTTAAAAATTTATTTAAAATTATTAAATATTTAAAAATTGACTACTATTTATTTCATAAAGTTTTAATTTTAAAATTTCAATATATTTATTTATTTTAAATAAATTTTTATTAAGATTTAAATTAAATTACTTTACTCAAACTAAGAAATTCGAATTAACTTATTCAAACAAAGGATTCAATGATTGATGAAAAATAAAATAAAAATAATTAAATTTCAAGAATTTTAAATTTCTTGAATTTTTAAAATACCACATCCAAACAAAATATAATGGGAATTGTAATTAGATAATAATATAAAACTGTTTTTCACTCTTAATGTATCACCATTAAACCCAACATATATCTACAATAAAATTATTAACTTTTATAATAATTTATTTTAAAAATCGTATTCATGATGATTTCTAATTTGTTAACTTAAATTATTAAATATATCAATTGTAGAAATTGTTAATCTAATAACACTAAACATTTAACAAGTTGGTGAAATTGGAAGAAAAATATGTTGATGAAACCGTAAGACTTTTATTTTTTGAAAACCTTGATTTATTGGATCAAGCATGTACCGTAATTTTTTAATATTTATTATTAGCATAAAAAGGCACGTGTGTATTTTATATAAAAAATAATAATTATTAAATATATGTGATTAATTAATAATTAGAGGGTGTAAATAATTTAAGTAGTTATTTAAAGAGGAGTAATGCTACAATAAAAATTATACAAGAATTTGTATAATATTATTTTTGCATCGATTTCTCTTTATCATTTCATTTATTATGAAGAAATATATTATTAATGATGGAGAGAGATTGATTCAAAACTACTATTGTACAAATTTTATTGTACATTACTGATATATTGTTTGATTACTTTAAGGACATAAGATATTTAGTTATGATGATGAAGAAAAGAAATTAAATAAAAAATATTGAAAAAGAAATAATGGTACACATAGGGACAAAATAGTTTAAAAGTTGTGAACACTAAAAAAATATATCATCTTTATTAATAATATAAATTTATAACAAATAATTTTAAAAATTAATTTTAAAATTATAAATATATCACGTATTAAAATAAAATTAATTGATGAAATATATAATAATAATAATAATAAAATTATATAATTTTCATGACCTAATTACTCATATATAGTTATATACTTTTTTAATATAAGATTTTTTAACTCCCCACATGTGAGGAATTTTCACTTATATAGTTATTAAATTGATAAAACCTACCATGCATTAAAAATAATTACCAACACTTGTGGAGTTCCTTTCAATCATGTTGAAAACAAATTTAAGAATAATCTGAGCCAAGTTGAAAAGGAAATTACGAATAATTTAGTATGCAATTTCTAACCCCAACCTGTAAACTAAAGTCAGGTGGGTACAGTTTTGAGTGTTTGACCCACCCATAGCGATGACAACGGGTGGGTTAGGGACGGGTTTCATGATACTCGTTCTCGTTTTCGCGAGTCAAACTTATCTTCGTTTTCATACCCGTACATGTCGGGTATGTGATTTTCATTTCATCCTCGTCCCCATCGGGTATCGGGTATACCCGTACCTGTCAATTTTTTTATTTTTTATTTTTATAAAAAAATATGATATTTTTAAATTATTTTTTATTATATTATAATTATAATTAAGTTATTTCTCTATCTCATATTATAATAAATAATTACACATAAAAAAATATTAATTTTTTTTAATATAATTAAATTAAAAATGAATATTAAATTAGAAATAGGAACGGGAACGAGTACAGGTACGGGGCGGGTAAGTACATACCCGTACCCGATTTAAAGTATCGGGTTTTACACATATCCATACCCATACCTAGTCAAATCGGGTATTTCTTATCAAAGTCGGGACGAGTTCAGGTATTACTTAGAGGTACATGTATATTTGCCATCCCTGCCCACCCACCGTGTACAAGTCTTGTTAGCATTCAAAGCAGAAAATCAAAATGGTTGGAATGAAACCCAAAAAAAAAACTAAACCACAAACAAACTTGAGAAAGAAGTGCTTGTGCTGCATGTTTTGACTTCGTCTTCCATCACTCATTCACAGTTTCACTAGCTACGAAGCACAACGTGACCATGACGATCAAAGCAAGGAAACCATATGTCACAACCTTATTATATTTAATGAGTCACAGCCGTCTGACAGTGACCCACCAGGAACCTTGTCCTTACTATATTCCAATTTCCAAATCAAACATAGGAAAAAATCAACACCTTGTTTTACCCTTCTGCTTCAAGACCAATAACAACAAGATTAGCAACTGGGTTCGTCTTGTTCTTCTTTGCTATTTCGGGTTTGAAATTTGGGTACCTGAAAAGTTCTCAATTTTAAACATGAGGTTCTAAGGTCAAACAGTTAAATTATCGGTTTTGTTTGCTCATCCTTGCATTTTCTCTAAAGGTTCAGTTCAATTCACCCTCCCTCGGATTATTCATTTATTCTTGTCTGTATATGCTATTTGTATGATTTTCTTTGTTTCTGTATTAAATTGTTAATGCCCTTTTTCTCTAGTTATCTATTGTTGCCCAACTGATTGAGGATCTTCTGTAACTAATGTGTGATGATTGATTTTTCTTTTGCTGCATAAATTCGGTTTTAATAGGCAACATGGAAATCATGGAAGAGAGAAAATTTTCTAAATTGTTGTCGGAGCTGATAGTTTTGGCTGATGAGGTTGCTTCTCTTGCTAAGAACTCTGAAATTGAGGTTGATATTTTTGCTGAGTTTGCCATGTTGGTTGAGAAATTCCCACCAATCTTCAATGACTTGAGGGACAAAAACACGGTCTTGGACAGGCCACCTATACGAAAATCTATGGAATCTCTTGAGAATGAGTTGAGGCGTGCCAAAGCTTTGACGAAAAGCTCCAATTTGAGACAACCAATCAAGCAAATTGAGGACATAACGCATGATATCGGTCGATCCTTGGGCCTTCTTCTTGTAGCCAGCCTTGAAGTGTCTGCGGATTTCAGAGAAAAGATTGGTACATTGCAAAGGCAATTGATGAATGTAAGATTTGATGCCAGTTTAAGTCTAGCTTCAAGTCCAAAATCAGAGTTGTTAGGCAGTGACATGAAGCTGACAGGAGAAATAGAAGAGGAAATAGTTTATGTTTCTATTGATGATGTTGTTTTGCAACTTAAGACCGGTAATGATGAAGAATTTGCAGTTGCACTTTTGAGACTAAAGGAGTTCATGAGGAGTGAAAGACTGGATGGTGGCTTGATCAATGAGGAAGCAACTATTTCCATTCTTTTCAATCGTCTAGGCTCGTGTAAGGCAGAGAATAGGTTGGCGATCATTCGATTGCTAAGAAGTATTGCTTATGGAAATGATGAGAAAAAGGTAAAGTCCTTAACATAAGGTGATGTTTCTAGTAAATGTTGGTCTAAAATCACTGAACGTAATGGTTGTTTTAGCTTACTTTATAAAGTAGTTTACTGCAGGAGAAGATGGTAGATATTGAGTTTTTATCAGCAGTGGTGAAGTCGCTGACAAGAGATTCAGAAGAGAGGAAGGAAGCAGTGGGGCTGTTGGTAGACCTCTCTGACATTCAGGCAGTTCGACGGCGAATTGGAAGAATTCAAGGGTGCATTGTTATGTTAGTTGCTATACTTAATGGGGATGACCCTGATGCCTCACATGATGCGGCAAAATTGTTGGATATATTGTCTAGTAATACTCAAAATGCACTTCATATGGCCGAGGCTGGCTACTTTAGGCCACTGGTGCAGTATTTGAAAGAAGGTAATACAAGGTTTTCCTTGACTGATACATCATTTTTCTTCTCTACTATTTATATGGACCATCCATTCATGATACTACAAGTAACATGAGGAGTATATATCACTGAGTCCATTATACTTTTATAAATATCCGAGTGGAAGGTGGTTGAAATTGATTGACAGATCGAGTTTCTAGAGAGTAGAAACAGCATAGTTAGCTTTTGGTTTCAACTAAAGCAAACCACTTAACTTATTTATATTATTGGAACATGTAATATTTTGTGTTTGATCCAGAGAAAGTTGTGCTATGGCTATCATAGATGAAAATCACAATGTGTTTATTTAGGATAAATTAATTTACACTAAAATCCAGTAATCTTAATTTGACTGTCCCGCCTATTTTTCTCCAACTGATTTAACAGTTGCCACCCAGAACTGTGCTGTTTTTGGGTTAAGACGTGTCAAATTTGTGTTTTCTTCTATCTAAATGCTATAGGCATGGTAATCCGTAAATAATAAAGTTATTCTTGTATCATGGTTTAAATGTGTTTGGTTCCTACATGTAACTCATTTTCAATTTGTTCATTATATGAAGAAAGTTTTCAATTTGGTTCTTATACTACAATCATTTTCAAATTCATCCCGACCATTTTACTGCCTTATAAAGTATGGAGTTATGTTACTATATAGTGTTATTATTGTAACCATGGACAGGACCAAATTGGAAAAAAAAAAAAAAAACCTTTTTTAGCATATGGATCAAGTTAAAATTGAGTGTTAAGCATGCTAAGATTTAGGGGAAGGGGGTAATCACTTTAATTTCGATTTGTTATTTGTTATGTGTATGGCTGCTAAATCAACAATGATATGAAGGGAACTAAATGATTCTACATTCCCTGTACCTGAATTTGCAATCATGTTATTGTAGGGTCTGACATGAACAAGATCCTAATGGCAACAGCACTTTCTAGGTTGGAGCTCACTGATCACAGCAAACTTTCCCTTGGAGAGGATGGGGCAATTGAGCCCCTGGTCAATATGTTTAGTACTGGGAAACTTGAGTCCAAGTTATCAGCTTTAAATGCACTACAAAATCTGTCTAGCTTGGCAGAAAATGTGCAGCTTTTGATCAGATCCGGTATTGCAGGATCTCTCTTACAACTTCTTTTCTCAGTAACATCTGTGCTCATGACTTTGCGCGAGCCTGCATCAGCTATTCTTGCAAGAATTGCTCAGTCAGAATCCATTCTTGTTAATGAAGATGTGGCTCAACAGATGCTTTCACTTTTGAATCTTTCCAGCCCTATAATTCAAGGTCACCTATTGGAGGCTCTGAATAACATAGCTTCCCATCCTGGTGCGTCCAAAGTGAGAAGCAAAATGAAGGAAAAAGGTGCACTTCAGCTTCTCTTGCCCTTTCTGAAGGAAAACACCACCAAAGTCAGGATTAAGGTGTTGCATTTGCTGTACACTCTCTCTAAAGATCTAACAGATGAGTTGACTGAACATCTGGATGAAACTCATCTTTTCAACATTGTTAATATAGTCTCAACATCAACATCAGAGAGTGAAAAGGCTGCGGCTGTTGGCATACTGAGTAATCTTCCTGCTAGTAATAAAAAAGTGACAGATATACTGAAGAGGGCAAATTTGCTTCCCATTTTAATATCCATTATGTATTCTATCACAGGAAGTAATTCACCCACAACAAATAGATTAGCAGAGAGCATTGCAAGTGTTATTATTCGCTTCACAAATTCCTCTGACAAGAAATTACAACTTCTTTCAGCCGAACACGGGGTGATTCCTTTGCTTGTAAAACTGCTATCAAGTGGTTCACCAATCACAAAATCTAGGGCTGCAATCTCTCTGGCTCAACTATCTCAGAATTCTCTGTCTCTTAGGAAGTCTAGAAAGTCAAGGTGGTTGTGCGTTCCACCGTCAGCGAATGCATATTGTGAAGTTCATGATGGATATTGCTTTGTCAACAGCACATTTTGTTTGGTCAAGGCTGGTGCTGTTTCTCCCCTTATCCAACTGTTGGAAGATACTGAGAAAGAAGTGGTTGAAGCTGCTTTGTGTGCTCTCTCTACTCTTCTGCTAGATGAAATATGGGAAGGTGGTGTCAACTCCATTGCCAAATTGTCAGGTGTGCAGGCTATTATAAAAAGTCTAGAAGTTAGGGATGCAAAGGTTCAAGAAAAAGCAATATGGATGTTGGAGAGAATATTCAAGGTTGCAGAACATAGAGTAAAATATGGAGAATCTGCTCAGGTGGTTCTTATTGATCTTGCCCAGAAGAGTGATTCTAGATTGAAGTCAACAGTTGCAAAAGTATTAGCTGAGCTGGAACTGCTGCAATCTCAATCAAGTTACTTTTGAAACAATGATTTGGTTTTGATCTCCATTCATTTACATTATTTTGGTGTATATGCTTGTATTGTACTACTTTGTTTTGGATGAGCCACATAGTGCCATTTGGTATTTGTAATTTAAAGGTATGTCAGCCATACACACTCCAACACTCTTTTTCTAATACTCTTTATAATTGGCTGAGATTTATTAAAAAATATAAATTTTGTTAGATCCTTCCTCTAAATTGGGAGAGATTTATTAGCTGAGATGCAAGACTCACTAAAATTTTGTAATTTTTAATAAATTTCAGCCAATAACAAAATCTTAGAAAGAGTGTCCC